GTTTTAGTTTTAGTTTTTTAATTCAACTCAAATACGATTAATGGTAATCGATGTTGAAACTGAATCCGAATCTTGTATCTTTAACGCAAAGATCGTGTTCAATCTTAACCGGGAATCGCATTGAGCAGTGTGTATATACGACGAGAATAAACCAACTCTTTTTCTTAGAGCTTGCGGGAACGAGAGAAAGGCAGATGTGGGCAAGTTAACGACCCGTTATCGTGCGAATGGCGCGGAACCACCGCCGCCGCCGCTGTTGCTGAAACTGGTTGCTGCCGATTGTATGAAGCAGACCGAAAGGATCGTCGGCGAACGCTTCATGGAGGAGAAACCCTGAGGCGCGTTGCTGTAACGAGGAGCGGCAATGCGCGAGAAGAATCTGCATTCGCGCGAGAGAAATATTCGAGAAGGCCGCGATCGAACATACCGGTTAACGTATGTAAGTACAGGTGCACCGAGGTTGCACGCAAATGTCGCTGCAACCCGTCGCGAATAAACTTTTGCGGAAAAGTCACTGCAAAAGACGTCGCCGCATTTGCATACAATGTGCATCGAGTTAATTAACAGAATTGTAATCGGGGATAGAGCATATGACGTCGTACGATGACCAGGCGTAAAATGCAAGTGTTACCAACTGGCATTTCAAGAATGAAAAATCTTTCTTGTGAAAAGAATCTTTGGAAAAATTCTAGGACGAAAACATGTGACATTTCTGCGTGGGAAAAGAATGTGAAACCCGAATACGCTTGTAAAAAGCTAACAGAACAGTGTATTTTCTTAAATCTTCCTTCACCAGAACTGTCGTTCTTCGAGCGATAACAATCGTTTCCGTAGAAGCCATGACTGCATTTTAAACGGCAGGTAAAGGCCTGCTATGCATCGGCATAAAAGCCGAAAGAAAGAAAAGAAATATAAGACGAACATCACGTAGACTCATAGACGCACTCGTAAACGACACCAGATCAGCGAGAATATATTTTTATTTTTTCTTATTTTTCTCTTTTTATTCCTGTCTTTTTTTATTCTATCAATAGTAAAGAATAGAACAAGAAGTTTCTCGAATTTATTTATTATAAGTTGTTTCACGCGGCATAGGAAAAAGTTGAATTTGACTGTATAGCAATTGTAGATATTTTTGGAGGAATTGTAGGAATTTTTGTGAAATATTAAATTCCAAAGATTTTAAACTAATCGATAATTTTATCAAACTAAGATTGACTCATTAAAATATTTAGAAAATAAATAATTCATTAAAATATACAGGAAATTACTAATAGATGATAATTTAGTGTTATCGATAAGTTGGAGGTTGCGTCAGATGAAAGGGCATTCTTGTTTCTATGGAAACCCACACTACTATCCTGCTCAACGATTCGAAATGTCGGTAACGCGATAAAGAATACCTGGCGCAGGTACGCGCGATTGCGCGATTTCAAGCGCGGAAAAGGTCGGCTGGAAATCGCGCGTACGTCCACACACCATATGTACGATTCGATCATTCGGGGGTTAAGTATACGTGCAGATGGTGGGGCACAGAATCAAGATGGCGTAACGACCGGTCGTTCGTTCTCCGAGGGATCGTTCGTTCGTTCGTGCGGTCACGCTCACGCTCACGCGGCGGCTGCGAGGTTCGGAAAGCTCGCCGGCTCGACTGCGCGAAAGCTCATCCTCGGGAAGGACGCGCTTCTCGAGGATGAGCGGGGACGCCGACGTCCTCGAGGTCCCCCTTCGCAACGCGGCTGGCGCCGGCCGCTATATCGATTGCTGCTCCGGCTTGCCCATTTTCAAAATGGCGCGGGGGGGTACACGGTCGAAATCCGGACGCCTCAAAGTCCCGGCACGAACCCCGCCTCGATGTTTTTCGATGCGCGAAAATCGCCGATCGCTGCTCTCTCCCTGGCGTAAAGAAAATCGTTCGAACGAAAGGACGGCGATGATGCTCGGGCGTTTGCAACCCGCGAAAAACTTTCGTAGACGCGCAACAGTTACTCAAGGGCACCATTAAAAAAAAAGAATCAACTTCTTTCGTCGAGAAAAAAAATACTATCTCGTCGATGAACACACTTATGTCACACCTCGCGGTACTCACCTCTCGGATCTCGAAGTAAAAATGCCGCACGAGAAATTTCCCTTGCAGCAAGAATGCGTACGTACAGCAACGCGCACTTTGCAATGCACCTTATATTATCCCTCCTGAGTTGCTTTCGAAATTCGCCGGGCTCGTCCGGCGGCACAATGCGCGGATCTCTCTCACAGCGACACCCGAAGCGTGTGATACGGCGAACGAGATGCGATGAGATGCGCGTGTTTATCACGACGATATACCGTGCGTTTGTGCGTGCGTAGAAAGAGAAGCTTCTCTCTCTCGATGCGGCGTGACGGACACAGGGAAACTTTTTCAGCGGGAGCGCGTTCGCGAACCCATGTACTTAGCTCGGTAACGCGCGACCGACTGGCGCAAGAGCGCGCAAGCGAAGGGGAAGCGGCGTCCGTCTGTCGGTCGGTCCGTCTTTCTGTCACCAGCACGTTGCTCGCTCGCACCAACGCTACGTTTCCCTCTCCCTCACTGCTGCTCTCTCGTTTCCTCTCCGTTCTTTCAGGATCCTTCTATATATCCCTCTCTCTCTCGCCCACTCGCTTTCTCCCTCTCCTTTTCTGACAGTCGGTCTTTGTCTCTCACTCACTCGCTTCTTTCCCTCTCTTTCCCACCTTCCGCCGCTCCTGGTCTTTCTCCTTTCTTTCTTTCTCCTTCTCTTTCTTGCTCACTCGGCACGCACACCCCACACTACTCTCTCTTTCTATCTTTCGACAGTCTCTTCTCTCCTGTGCCCCGCTTCGTAAAATCGCAGGTACGTCGATGCCCCAATCGAGAATCGTGAAAAGGTGCAGCAGAGAACGGCGGTGACCGCGTGTTTCCCTTGCTCTCTGTTTCTCGGAGAAACGTCCTCAGTTAAGGATGTGCAAAAGCGTACGACGGCGACTGGAGCACGCGGCGCAAATCAGGAGACGACGCGCGGCGGCTGGGTTCTACAGAGTCGGGTTAATGATCGATCGGCTCCTCTCTCGGCACACAGCGCGCCAGATAGCGGCAGCAACAAGAGAGAGAGATATCGTCGCGAGAGACGCTCCTTTGTTCGGCTCGGCCTGCGTTTCGGCCTGCGTCGTCGCTACGCGTCTTCCCTTTGTTCGAAGACGACCCGAGCGCGACCCGAATCTCGCGGAAGCAACTTGCTCCGTTTTTTACGCGATTCGCGGCCACAAAAATCGGTGGACTCCGCGAAAGATTAAACGCGCTCCCTTTTCCTTTACGCGGTTCTGCGATCGCCGTCACACCGGCACGATCTGCACCGCTCGACCGTCAGAGAAAGAATGAGCACCCGCGAGAGTGGCGATAGGGGCGGTAGGGATATGTCGGACGAGCCCGGCGCCCCCGGGATCTCGTTCGCGGCATGGTGGCAGCCCTGCCGCCGAGGACTCCAGCTCTAACCAGGGACAAGAAGGGTGAGCGGGGTACAAGCGGCTGACTCGACGTAGGGCGGGGCCCTGTGTTACGAAGGATTATTTACCTAGGGACACATCGACTCTCTAGTTCCGCTGAAGGAAACAACGATTTTTAGGATTGCGCTTTTCTCAAACGACTCTCTGCTAGCTCGAGCAATTCGCGAGAACTTTGCAAATTCCCACATAAAAAAACATATTTAATCATTACATATAATTGTTCACAAAAGAAAACGTTAAAATATATTAACGGCAGTAATTACAATCGTATATGCTATAAAAGATTTAATTCACCACTATCTTGATCCTGCAGACTCATATCTGAAACAATGCGGAAGAAGTCCTCGAAATGCCATTTTTATAGAACGTAATAAAAATCAGAGAAAGGGTGCAGTTAATAAAGTACCCATACAAATAATATTTAAACATCCAATAACACTTAATATAATGCGTGCCAACGATTCGCCTATATTAATCCAATTCTCGGGACATCCTACTACGATAGAATCCCTTTGATGAGTATTTTATGTCCTACACGAACGAAGGGGATTAAGTCGCGTCTCTGCAAATCGAAGAAGTTCCCTCCTACTGCGGATTGTTTGACTCCCAAACTGGTTTCCTCGCCGTCTCGGCTAAATTTCAGTTAAGGATCGCGGATAACGATCCCCTTAAGCTCACGTTATCCCCGGTAACGACGCAAATAGCTGGCAATCTCCCCGTGGCGACTTTTTTTTTATCGCCCCGCATAATTCTCGCGATCGCTTGACGGGATTACGATTTTACGCTATCGCGAAATTCTCATAGAAAACTTTCGCTATAAAAAGCGACACGCTTGAATGCTCAAATGTATAATGTCACTTCCAGGGAATTAGTTACATTAAAATTGTTACATAATTCTCATATATTTCATCGTGACGCGCGCGATTCTTATCAGCCTTCGCAAATGGAAAAAAAAAATAATCGCCAAGATGTACGATCGTGATACAACGGGCTTCCTATTCCTGCTGATATAGTTCACCGAATCGTATTGAGAATAATTAAAATGGCGATTATCTCCGGCCGCTCGTGTAATCTCTGTCGATTGCACAGTGCACTACCTGGAAATCGACGGTCGTTTAGGCAACTACGGTGGTCGCTCGAGCGAAACAAAACACGCGTTATATACCTGCTCGCAACTAACTCGGACTATATTACGAGTCGCCTTTCGCCTCTGTTGGCGGTAAGTCGGTGACTAATGCGAAAAACAGCGAGTACGAAAGAGCGACGAAAACGTCGAGTTAGATAACACTTCGACACGAGAGGAATTTCGAGGCTTGGTCATCATAAATGTCGCTCAAAGAGTTTCCGGCACGAAAAGACCGCGGAAGAAATATAAGAAGAAATACTTCCGAAGTTCGAAGTTGGCTAGCCGCGATAAAGGAAAATAGAGCGCCTCTTCGGACATTGAAACGGAAAATCGGAAACATTTGTGATAACAGATAATATAACGAGATTGAATCGCAAAGCAACAGAAAGTTATCTCCATTGAAAGGTATCCGGATCAATTGTTTCGAAACGTTCAGATGTTCATAGTCGAGCACAAACATCCTTGAAAAGTTTATGTTCGCCATTTCTCTTATCGATAATATCAGTTGTGAGAAATCGAGACCATGCGTTAAAGTGTTACGAGTAGGCGTTCGGCTCGTTATCATTTTTACGCCGCTGAATTAATCCTACGGGATCGCTCTTTCTCTCTCCCTCAGCGCAGCGCGTTGTATTTCAATGCAAGCTGCTGCTGCTGCTGCTGCTGCTGCTTCTCGTTGCCACGCCCATGAGCGATCGTTTCGGTTCACTCGCGAAAGAGCAAGATATCTACGCGGCGTACTTAATGCAGAAACTGCGAATATTTCTGCCGGTTCAATCGGCCGCGAGACGGAGAAGCAAGCAGCGAACGCACGCGCGGTTTCATCTTCGATCTCATTTATCTCCGGCGCGATGACGCGGCATTAAAGAGCCGCAGCCGCCTCCTCTTCACGATCCTTTCGCCGCGAATCTGTTGTCCGATCTGTCACGATCTCGTGCGCTAATGGCCGGCTATGCTAATCCGCGCCCTACGCAGCAGCAGTCCTCCATCTTTCTCTCGCCTGTGTAATTAGACGGGAGAGATAATTTCTGATTCGCGCACCCCGCACGACGGCTTACTAATTAAATGCAATTATCTGTTGGCAAACAAGTTCGATTCCCTCGTGATTTGCCGTTCACAAAGCGAAACATTTATTAACTTGCCACCGTCGCTGTAAGGGATTCTTCAATTTTCTATCCAGATCAAATGAAATTATTGAATAAGACTCTCTAATATATAAAATTAACTCTTACTCTATAAAATAATTATTACAGTAACCAATATTTCGAAATTGTTAACTTGTGCTTGTGAATTAGTTATACTTTTAATTATTTATAATATAAAGTACCGAGACACCACAATTCTTCAATTAAAAACAATCAAATATTAAAGTGGCTGAAAATGAATAAATGGTACATTTTATTTTAATAGATTCTCAATTCCTTTCATATTCTCAAAGTAATTAATAATAATAATAATTAATATGTTACACAAATGTCGTAATAAATGATAATCTATCTCGACATTTTCGTATACGAGTTTATATCTCCGATTTAAATAAGGAATCTATTTCAGTCATTCACAAGCTCGTGAATTACTATGTATAGTTATGCATTGCCATTGGCAAATCATCGCTAAAATATCCATGCGATTTATTAACCACCTGCTACGCGAATCAAGGACGATATCAATATTTATCAGCGCATCTTTGTCGTAGATATGCAAAACTGCTTACGCATCGTTTAAGTGCAAAGCATCGTATGGTAATCCGTCTGGAATGTGTAAGCTCTAGTAGTCGTCTCGATTCACGACGATTAATCCTGCGACGCACTCGGCTGGGATCACTTTCGTGGTTCGCGTGCCACCGGAAATCGGCTATCAGGAGGCGACAGAGGAAGGGTGCAAGATCACTTTCTCAGTACCAGATCATCTATATATACATATATGTGTGTAAGCGCGGGTTGCGCATCAACTAAGATGCACTATTGCATTTCATGCCGAGAAACACTTTCATGCGCGCATAAAATAATACCCGGATAAAAACTTCCAACGAAAAAAAATTTACTCATAACACTTGCGCAGAATCCCGACTTCTCATACATAAGATTTATAAAAAAAACACAGAACATATATTTTTTTCGAAGATGTTTATGCTTGTCACGAACGTCTGAATAATCAAAGAAATTTTTAATTGCGTTACAAAAATAATTAAATGGACAATGTTAAAGAAATGTATTTAAAGTCATTAAACATTTTTGCATATTAAAAAATTGAATATATATATTCGCAATATCTTATTACAAATAAAAAATTCTGTTGAATGAAGCATCTTCTGCATTTAATTATCAAAGACTTAATTATAAGTGACTAGTCTTATATTTAAGTGCGGTACCTAATTACGTTTTGGTCCTGCCAATAAACGATTTTTTTATGCTTTCTGTGAAAACAATTACGCGAATAACGCGAAAGTGAGGAAAGTTCGAACTAACGAACTTTGGTGAAACTTTCCGAGTTAGCAAAGCGTCTCCCTTAGTCTCCAAGCGTTGACAATCACGACAGCGTCCTTCCACGAAAAGAGATTAAAAGATTCGATGAAGTCGTGACGAATCGTAAAACTGACAACATCCTCTCAGAGTTGTCAGGAAGAAACGGAGCCATAAATTCTGCATACGGATTGCTCACTTGGAACTACGAACTATGAGCTACCAGAGAAACGACAATGACAACAATGTCGTAACGCGAATTATTCATAACACCACTCTCGTTCCTGACGTTGAGTGAACGCGAGTTTACAACGGCGAACGATTGCTCGAACTTGTAATATAATTCGTAAGACAAGCAGTCGTATTAACAAATATCTAATT